TCATAAATATGTAGAACAGTTTTCTTGTATTGACTATTGTCATTTTTGACAAATAGGAAATTCCATTTGTGGAATATACTGGTACTGCTAAGCTAAACATCAAGTAATATAGTAGAGTTCATTTTTTATTGCATTACATTTTGGTGATTCATTCTTTTGACATTTATTTCACTAGATGGATAGTATTTTCCCCTAACTACTTGCTAAGTGACAGGTGTTCTATTACATGACATCATTTCCAATGACAGTTTGTGTTTTTACCATTGAACTGATACCTTGAAATACTGGAAACTGTAACCAGGAGTCCAAAAGAAGGGAGAAGGGTAGCTAGGAGAGAAGGACAGGAAAAGCTAGGGAGAGGGCAAAGAGAGATTTTTTTGTACGAAATAGTAAGAACCTCTTTCTTGCCAGGGGAAAAGTAATTAAAAGATGTCACTTGATGCCAGGTCCGTGTGACAGGTGTCCAAGATCCCCGATGAACTTTGCTATTTGAAATGTTGAACACTCACTGGTCTGAGACACGATTTTCACCTTTTCTATATAGCAAATAGACTGACAGTGACCTTGCTGTGAAGCACCCTGATTCAGCACAGAAACAAAAACGTGATTCTTGTTTTGACTAACACTGCAGCTAGACATCGAGTTCCCGTGCACACTTATGCATGCCTAGAGGATGGGTTATGTATCCATGGTGGAGCTCAATAAGGATGCAAAGATGGGGGTATTTGTGCATACACAGTGCTTAGAAGCAAAACCTGCACCACACAGGTGTTTAGCCCACCCCCAGGAGCCTACGTGCAGCATTATGGTGAGTGATTCCTATTTGCAGGGGAGCAGCAGGCTCATTTAAAATCCAGACAGGCTTTGATATGAAAAACAGACTCCCAGGAAATGTCGCTGTTACTGGAGGAAAAATAATTTCAAAATAACTGGAATCACTTCCATCTTCTAACTTTAATAATGTTTAAAGAAATGCAATATGGCTTATGGGTGTTGGGTAACAGTGCACAGCAAGGCTGTCAGCAAGCAGGGAAAAGACAGCACAGTTTGAAGTGCTATTTCCAGCATATTCATTGGAAACCATCAAACTCCGCCACAGCATTATAGAAATCCTCCACATGCTGCTAACATGTAGATACCCCTCTGAGACTTGGAATAAGAGTTCAGGCCAACTTCAAAAATGAGCCGTATCCTTTGTTCTTGACATGCTTTGGGAGAGATCTCCTTGCCACAAAACACTCAGATTATAGTTGAAAGAAAAGCATCTCGCCTCAGGCTACAGAGGTAAAAAGAAAGGGTAGAACTCTTCTTTATTGAAGATTCCAGATTCAAGCCAGGTATGGTGGCACATGCCTGTAATTCTGGTACTCCAGCCTACACAACAAAGTGAGACCTTGTCTCAGAAATCCAAAACAGTTTGCAAATTCTGGGTTCCATTCTGGATCACCACAGGGTCTTCAGGTCTCAGCGTC